TACTACTGCGTCCTCAGCATCACCTACACAGAAACAACGTCACAGGCAGCGGAAGACAACAAGGCGAAAGAGAACACCCTCTTCGCGCCCAACATCATCAGCATCACCTACGGCAACATCAAACAGAGCCGATGACCGCTGCCGCTCACCTTCTCGTGAGCCTTGGTCTTCAGATTCCATTGCACCTTATGATATGGTGCACCCAACTATTATGTACAAACGTTCTAAGACCGCCTGTGCTAAGATGCTGGTACGAGCGGGATACAGATGCCGTTGTCATTTCAAAGTACTGAGCGAATGTCCATCCAGGTTCGCCGTAGGACCGTGACAATTTCCGCGTAACCCTGGAGCACCAAGGCCTGAAGCTGTGCAGCAAAAACAGATTCATTTGCACACAACGTTGTGACACTCTCTCTCTCTCTCTCTCTCTCTCTCTCTCTCTCTCTCTCTCTCTCTCTTGATTGACATTCATGTTGGTTTGCCCGATTCGTCGAAGCACATTTCAGGTAGTAGCAGCTACCCAATCCATATCATGCCAAAGCGAAAGGCCGATGAAGCAGGCCTCCCATGGTATTCCATGCGAGGTCAATGCTTTCGGATGACGGTTGACATACCACCTGACCGCATCACCAGGGACAAGCATATGTCCATACATGTGGTGCTTTGTCTTGGCGACAACGTGCTTCAAGCACGGAAGATATTCTCCTATCGCATCAAGGAGATCACCGGCAGAACACCAGAAATCTCTGCATTTTTCTTCGAACAAAACCGCCGACGATTACATGATTGGGATTCAGTTACAACTTTGGCTACTTTGAAGCCCGTGCTTTTCGTTAGGACAATTTCCGATCAGGAATTGCGACAGGCACCCGGCCGCTTCTGACAGTGAAGAAAAGAGCGTTCAGTCATTACGAATGCATCACGTTGTTTACATCAAACAGCAATATTCACGCCCCAACAGGGGCTGTGTGTGTGTGAACCTCCCTAGCACATGGGAGCAGAGGGTCACTCCTTTCCGCCTGTATTTTCACAGTATTTGTCAATGAAACACATGTTGTCAAACACAATAATTTTTGCAGGGGAGTGTGGCACTTGCGTCCTACCACACTCAACGAAGCTGTGGATGCAAGTGGGAAGCGGGACCTGATCAGTCCTGTGTACCTGCATGGCAGCCCCCTGTGGTGCCAAGATTAGTTCAGAGACAGGCCCCCTGTGGTGTCCGGATTAGACAAACAATTTTATGATTGTACGTTTGCCGCAATCTGACATGTGCTTGCAACAAACACAACATGCCTCTCTTTTTCCTCTTGCACTCGTACTCTTGGCCGAATCAGTCAGTGTGTGTGTGTGTGTGCGTGTGGGTGTGTGGGTGTGTGGGTGTGTGGGTGTGTGGGTGCGTGGGTGTGTGGGTGTGTCGGTGTGTGGGTGTGTGCGTGTGTGGGTGTGCGGGTGTGGGACTAGGTAGGTAGGTGTAGGTGGGTGTAGGTGGGTGTGGGGGTGTGGGTGTGTGGGTGTGTGGGTGTGTGGGTGTGAGTTCTCTACTTTGCGCAGGCAGGGACAGGCCTGCGAGGCTGCACGCTGTATTGGAGCAGACTGAGTGCATCCTGACACCCGACAGGACAGGAAGAACACCGGCACCTGGATGAATATGCTTTAGCTTGCTGACTAGACGCATAGCGGGATACTCCTTGTTGTGCACCCACTCGAGTGTCCATCTGTATCTCGGAGCTCCCATGCCGTAGGATAAGCAAGCGCACATCTTGTGTGGTCCCGTGAACATGTTTACATGGCCTTTGGCCAATCACGTCCCCACCCCCATGACTGGCATGGCTCAGGGTGTGAGTGGTAGGGCTCATGAAGAACCCGTCAGCATAAAGTGGATCCAGCAAAAGACGCTTCACAGAAGCCGTTGAGGAGTGCTACGGCGAATTGTCGTGGATATACTTGTGCTCGCTCTGTAGCTGAAAGGGATGACAATTCCAAATCAAAAGCCCCGTAACCTTGCCGGGAAAACCCAGAGAAAGACATTTGCGAATAAGTTTGTCTGCACCGAACAACATGTTGTTTGCTCGGACGACTTTTTCATGATCCAGAGGTCGTAGCCCTGGAAGTCCCATGATGGAGCTCTCATCCTTTCCTCGAGGGGGTTGAGGCATCCTGGACCCAGGTGGACCTCTTCTTGCGCTACTCCAGGTATTACACGGAATGTCTATACCCACGAAGTGGAAATAGGGTAGTGCTTTGCAGAGCTGACTCCAGGACGAAAACCGTCCCAAATCATTTCTGCTATCACCTTCAATGTCTATTGCCCGAAAGGTAACACAGACTCAGCTTGCCCTCGTAGTCCTTTCGAGTCGTCTCCTCCACGCTCCCCAACTCCAATATGGTGCAGAATTCCTAGGAGGCCCGCAACTTCTTTCCATGTTTCCTTTCCCTCTCTCAGGCCTTTCTCCGCTTTTTTCGGCACTGTTTCATTATGGCACATAGCTCCGCGCTCTCGCGCGCGGCTCGCTACAGGCTTCTCCTCCACATCCTGCGACAAGGGGCTGCGACACCTTTTGTTCGCAGCTTCCGCTTCCTTTATCGTGAAGATCTCCACCCTGCGCTTGTTTAACCGATTTCCAACCGTTGCCCTTTGCTTCCCAAGCTCGGCTGTCATGGTCGGCAACATTGCGCTCCGAGACTACCCATCGCAGGCACAACTTGATGTTGCATGCCAAGCTGTGGGCCCACGTTCTGCGCAACAACCGCAACAAGCTGTAGCTCGAACATCTCCCCTTCATGACGGCTAGCACAACCCCCATGTTGTCATTCAGGATGAGAGTTCTCTGCCCGCGCTGCCTGGCATCCCGTGAGAGGTGCTTCAGGGTGGACAAAATGGTTCTGCACTCCAGCAAATGCACCGGCTCCTTGTGCGCTAAAGGCGCCTGCCAAAGCAGCCGCCAATCGGCCGGTTGCAGAAAACCTCACATGGCACTTCCGCAAAATTCTCATCCTCCATGATTTCGCCAAGCACTTCCCCCTCTACTTCTTGCTTCACTGTACGAACATCGGAGAACACATCAGCTCCTGCCAAAGCAGACTCTCTCGGCGCAACAAGAGCACCTGATCCGCGGTAAAATCGCCATCCCTCATCTTCTCCCCCGATGGTCCTGACCGTGTCCACGGGGAGGTCTCGGGTCATAATGGCATATCCGCTGAAGGCAAGCATCTGTGCAATACACGTGTAGACGCCAGCCTGCTCACATGTCACCGCTGCACAAAACCATGAGGCACCTGAACAGCTCTAGCTCACGAACCACCGATGGCCATAACTTCACCCTCTGGTCGTAGCACTCTTGAGTGAAAGTGTACACATGCCGCAAAATGGGTTTAGCATCGCCCGCATTGTCGCATGGCCCACAAGCACCTGAAGCTCTTCTCCTGACATGGCCACCCTCGAGCTGCACGCCAGCAGGGCCTGATCAAGCCGATGATCACGCGCAGGAGTGCTCTGAACTCAACCCGACATGCCATCGATTCTCACCCCCAGGCTTTCACACAAGTGGTGCTCTCTACCAGGTCGTGTGTGGCGAGCCCCACCCGATGAAGCTCCGAGAGCATGGCCTTCTGTGTGCCTGCAACCTCTTCTCGATCCATGTAGACCTCTGAGCCCTCGCATTCTAGCCTGGCCCAGCTGTCCATTGTGGATAGGGGAGCACGGAAAATCTTATTTGTGCGTCGTGCATCCACTATCAACCTCTGTTTCTGCTGCTTCTTTGTAACCACGAAAGCACCCACCTGCACCTTCGGGCTGGCCGTGAAGTAGACGAGGAAACTCTTCACAAGCTCGGCGACAAAACTATGATACTCACGACCCCATCTTTCAAGCTGTGGGTCCATGTACCGATCATTCTCCAAACCCCGCTCAAGCACCCCAGCGATCTCCTCATCTCCGAGCAGCATCTCCTTACGGAATTGTCGTAGCTGATGTCGCTCCAGCTCCGGCAGGAGGTCCTCCAGAAGTACCGGTTCTGCTTGGTCCCGTGGAGGGACAATCTCTCTCTCACATAACTTGCTACTTGCCCCGACAGGACTTCCCCATAGGATGAACCCGCCTTCTGGTGCAGCAGTTGCCTAAGCGCTGCCTGCGGAGAAATCTTTGCGGGCGGAGGTGGCCTCAAAGAGTGGGCCACCACACCCGCTTTTGCACTGACATCTGTGCCGCGTTCACTGCAGCACTCGGCCAGTGCGACTCATCATCAAAACCGGCCAAGTGATTGAGAGCCCAGACAGTGCCCCTAGCATTGCCCACAAGCATCCTCCTCTTGCGGACCCTTTCCTTGGAACGTCGTGAACCCAGATCCCTACAATCTCCAGCGAGACCATGATCAGCAGGAAGAGGCAAAGGAAAAACGTCTCCATGCTTAGCCATGGGTTCATGGAAAACCTTCTCAGTGCAAAAGTTGCTTCCGGCCTCGCCGCCCGCACTGTAAGCGGTGAAGCCGGCCTACCGCTCAGGGGGCTTCCTGCCCCTGCTTCTTGTCCTTGTTCTTGCCGGCCCCCTTTCCCGGCCGTTCGTCATCGTCGGCTCTCTGGCGAAGATGCTTTCGCTCCTCTGCAGCCAGCCTTGTCTGTTTCATCACCTCGGCTTTTGTCGCAGCCCTTCTTGCGGCATGCTGGGTCAGGGCAGGATCGATGACGCAACCGTCACCCGATTCCCGAATGCCCACAATGTCCTCGGCAGACTCATAGCTGGGCGTCTCGGGGCGACCTTGATGAGCTACCTCGATAAGGGCCCGACGGCGATTCACAGACTCTGCCGATGCCAAGGCGGGCAGGTTGAGCTGGTCGTACGATGCCATGTAGTCCAGGACGCGGCATAGCACCGCGTGCTCGTACACGGAGCGATCTGCGACCCCAACGCCACTCTTCTTCAGCCAGCTTTCATGGTGCTGCGTGAAGCTCAAACCAAGCCGGCGCAGCTGACGTGCATCACGGTACATCGTGCGAGGTCCTTGTCACGGGAAATCTTCAAAGTCAACTTCCTCGAACTCTGCCAGTGCCTCCTCCAAGGATCGCCATCTCTCTTCGGCAGCATCAAACAAAACAGGAAGGACTCTGATATCTCTCTCGGCCCGTTCATCGGCCGCTGGGCGGCGTACCACTCCGATTGCGGGAGCATCGGCGGCGGCACACCCCTGGAAAAAGAAGATGCCACCATCCTGGGGGAACAACTTGAAAGCTTGCCCTCCGGCCGGCACCACCGCTGTGTCTAGCGGCGGCTTGATCTGCTCTCCAAGACGGTCTCCCTGGGCATGATAAACTACCACCCAAGTCTCAAAGTCCTCTTCGATCACACTCTTATCCACAGGCCGGCTGCCTGTCGAATGAGAAGCGGCCCCCACATGAAGCTTTCCTGCCCCGCTCTTCAGTCGGAGCCGCCGTCGAGGCACCAATCCAGAGAGGAGCCTGCTGCTGCCGTCGGGCAACACTATCATCTCCCCCTCAACGTCGGGAACCTCGCCATGTGTGGCCTCGTGTTCCCGCCATGCCTCAAGGATCTTCTCCTCGACGAAGTCATTCGTGACTTCCTGCCTGAGCTTGTAGACTTACTTGCCTTGTGTATCGGGTGCGAGTACCGTAGGTAATGACCCTCACCTTCTCAGGGCCATCAGTCGCATTTCCTCCCAGATCTTCTTCATAAACATCTAGGTCTGGAGTGACTATCCAATAGCAGTTCTCGGTCTTGCCGGGTAGCAACACGACTCGCTCATGCCACACATCATCATCGGAGTACCCGACTCGAACCATGCAGACTCCCCAGATTCATACTCTAGCACTCCCAAGCCGCGGCGTCTGGGAGATCCCCGGCCGGGGCTAACAGACACCACAGCGGCAGCACGGCTCCGTCTCGCACAACAGTAAACTGCAAACCCACAGACTACGTGGCTTGCCAAAAGCAGGCCTCCGACCAGTCCCCAATGAACTGGCGAAAGCTCAACCGCCTGCAGATCCTCCTTCTCGCTCACACCCGGCACGTTGATAACACACTCGCACTCACAGGGCGGGCAGGTGTATAAGGGCCAGGGCTGACGAGATGGCTCAAGGCTACGAGTCAGCAAGACGGTCAACGCCACGAGGGCCTTCTCCCACATAGAGCAGAAAAGAGCTGAGAGGAGAGGTTAAAGAATCTCGCAAGCCCAGCAATGACGCACTACGTGCAAACAGGTGGCAGCTGCTGAAAGGCCTGTAAGGTTTGTGTGGACCGCGATACTATGGATCTTTAAACTCCCGCGCTGTCGGGCCCCTGTACAGCAGTCCGACAAGCCCTCTCAAGACCGTTTGTATGCCATCTTGAGATGCGAAGTTGCGCCGTACGATGAACATGCACGAAAGTCGCAGGGAACGTCACCAGCAGGTCCAATCCCAGCGACTGCGAGCAGCGGTGACGATACCAGCATAAGAAAACGAAGACTGGTCACAATGATCACCATGACTACGACTTGAACGCTGCACTGCATGATGCTTGCCACTTGCGACCGGCCCTTAAAGGCGAGAGGGTGGGGCAGGGGCATTGGTCCCGCGATCATGGAAAACCGTCTTCTGCATCGCTACTGCCCAACAAAACTCTGAAGCAACCAACATACCTGTGAGTACATACATCAAACAGATCTGAGTGGGCAACGCTCTTCCCAGAAGCACCAGCTCCGTTGGGAAAGAACACAGCCTCTGCCGCTGGCAGATGTCCGCTGCTAGCGCAGATAACGAGCGACTGGCTGACGCAGAGGACTCTTGTCGCTGAATTCCTTGCCGGACTGACAACTTCTCTTGCCACTGAAACTGGGCAGATGTAGCTGCATCCAAGCAAAAAGTCCTCCTTGGAATATCCGCCCGGGAACTCCACATCCTGTCCGTGTGTGCCCCGTGCAGCGGCAACGATTTCCACGGTCTTCCCACCTTGTCGCCAAACAAGTACAGGGCGACGCTCGCCTTGGCATTTGCTTCAATACGGCGAATCACTTCAGCGGACAACAGACACACGATGAAGCTGCGCACTGCACAAGCATCTTCGTCCTCTTGGCCTCGCAAACTCAGCTAATTAGCAGTCTCGCTTCACTGCAATCACATGTAGCGCATTTCTCGAAAGGCCTTGAAAAAACGTGACTCCGAAGTTGCGAACGCAGTTGGCCTCGGACGAACGTTTTGCTCGCGTTGCTCTGCGTTGCTCTGCTCTCGGAGGCTCGAGGCCCGAGGCTTCGGCTAAGGTCTGGATCATGCTTCGACTGCCATCATAGGCAGCTGCAGCTAGAATCGCCTAGTTCACAGCATAGCACAGCATCTTCTGCCGATAACCATAGAGCACGATACGGTCGCAGAGCCTCTGCTACCAGAAGCCGCTGCTCCCGGTAGAGCTGGCACACCTGCACAGTTTTGGACACGCTCTCCCCAGTCTGTCAGCTGGGAGTGCACCCCGGCGCACCTGACCACAGTCGATCAGCGCAACCCTTCCACCTTCCATCACGAAGATGTTCCTGCCAGCACTCTGATAAGCCACCGATAGTTGCTCACCTTGTGTTGTCAAGCTTCGAACATCTTCGAACTCACTTAACAAGGCCAGCATGGCCCAGGATGTGGATCTCCATGAATAAACCCAGAAGAGAAAATCATGTTACCTTAACTGCTTTGCGCGGTTCTGGTGCCGCTGCAACACATCTACACAAGTGATCGCATGCTTGCAAGCTACCGTATGCTGTCGTCAGGGCCTCTAAGATTCGGCCACCCAGCACCTCCGGCGTGGCGACGTAGCACTAGGACATGGCCGCCAGCACGCAAGGCGACGCAAGGATGCAGAAAAGACTTCACCCCGCAGTGCTGAACACAAAGCAAATCCGCGAGGCAGGCAAATTGCCTATGAAAGCCGCATTGGCAGCGGAGCTGAAACGAAGACATAAAATGACAATCGGAAGAAGCCCACCTTCCCTGCTTTGCTGCCCAGATCAATCCCAAGCTCCTGCAAGCAAAAGCGTTGGTGCAGACCTCGTCAGAACATGAAAGCAACCCTGCACACCTTCGCCCTCTCTTCGAGCTTTGACAGCGGCGTGCCCTTGATGAAGTCCATGACTGCCGCAGTTCGGCTGATGCGTGTCACCAGTACACCGTACACCTCACCTTTTTGCTGCATTTTCCCGGTGTTAGGAATATGCCAGACAGCATCGCAGAGGGGTCGGCCGTGGCTAACATGAAGCACATGTCAAGAGCGCAGTTTCGTGACAACTTGTGCGGTGGCGTCGAAGCAAGTACTGTAAGCCAAACAAGCGAAGCACGGCCTAGGGGACGAAGCTATGCAGAAGACAACACCACGTGAACAGCATTCGATCAGCTGTACTGACTGGCGCTGAACGTCCGGCAATAGAACTCAGGGACCACTTGAAGAAACTGGTATTAACAACTGTTGGAAGACGTGCCTAGCACCCTCCTGGTCGCCATGCCCGGTATCGGCTGCGGCACTACCTCATCAACTTCTGGTTTGTGGAGAAATGCAGAGGGCCGCCTAACCCGGGAGTTGCTGCAACCAGAACACAACTAGTACCGCAGACCGTGCAGGAAATTTCAGTAGTTCGGGGTTTCAACAATCCTCCCAAACCATGCTCATGCTCTGACACGTAATGCCGGTTCTGGGGCTTGAGGCCAATGGCGAGTCCAGCTCACGCCCAAGAGGATCGTGCCTGATGGAAGCAGCCACCTCCAGGCAAACGCTTCTTGCAGGAGGGTTTGCTTTCTCTCGGGAAGTCTCTCCTGGTGGTGAGCGGTAGTGGAACTGTCTCTGCCTCACTTCCGTGGCATGCTGGCAGGAGCCCCGTGCAGACTTGGACATACTGACATGTTTGCGGCGGCTCAAACTGAAGCTCTCGTCTGCCCAGTAGGTGCTCACATAATGCTTGCAGGACAAGACAAGCATAAGCAAGAGTGATCAATCCCTTGCCATTTTCTGCCGCAGGTTCAACATGCTGGGTCTACCCATCTTGGGCAGCTTCGCGAAAAAATGATGGACTACAAGCTTTCAGTTCGTCAGCTCAGCAGGTCAAGGCCCCAAAGCTTCCTGGCACTTAGCGACTCACTGGCTCAGGTGCTAAATCCGAGCTGCAGCATAGATCACGCGCTGCAGCAAGCCCACGTGCTGAAAAGTCAGACCAAGCAAGCAGATAGTGAGATAGTGGAAACCTAACTCATGGGCTCATGGATGAAAGGTTGCCACCTGCTCCAGGATGCATGTTGCTGAGCGTCGTCGGCAATAGGAGCGGGATCATTCCTTGCGAAACTTCCTGCAGGGCATTCGTCCCCCATGACACTGCAGTTGCACCAGCCCGAACACCACCCGTAGATTGTGCTTGAGTGTGGTCGCAGATCTTTGCAGCCAGTTCTCCAACTCGCAGACACGCCATGCGCCGACATCGTTATGAGAAGACCCCATGGCAAGAGCTGGTGACCGATGACCACCTTTGCACAAACACATCCGCCAAATCACAAAAGGACAGCACTTATGCCGAAGTCACTGCTCCGCCGTCTTCATCCATCCTCAGAGCCAGCTTTTTTTTCTCCGATTGGCCCTTAAATCACCCCAACTGAAACCGTCAAAAAAGCAACCGGTCGACAGTCATTACCGAATACGACGACACAGGCACAACGACAACCATGACGTGACAAGTCTCGATGAACCGGATCCGACAGCATTCACTCACCCGGCATGAGCGCTACACTGTGCCACATCGGATGTGAAACGAAGAAGACATGTCGGACTTTGGTGTACTGAAAACATGGCGCAGGTCTTGCCGTTCAAGCTTGAATCATCGGCAGCCCGTTGCAAGCAGTTTTGCATGCCCAGACTCTTTCGGAATGTCTCTGCTGATTCCAGCGAATCTTGATGCACGAAACCCGCGATCAAGCATCCCCCCTGGGAGATGCACACACTTTCACGAGAAGCTACCCATCTCTCCATGCACTTGCATCTTCGGAGATCAGCCGACCAGCAATCTCTACGACTCTACGAGGAGCAGGTAAGCAAAAGCGTTGATCTTGCCCGCTGGTGTTTGGCCAGATTTGCTAGATGCAATCAAGGCATCATTCGCCAAGGCCCCGAATGCGACACTTCGCATGCCCGTACCTTGCCTTGAACCTGTCTCCAGCCTTTGCGGAGCTTGCGTTCGGCAGCTGTGTGGCATTCCGGAAAAGGACGTCTATCGTTCGGTCTTCGGCAACGGGAACCCCAGAGCGGGACAGAATTGGAACGGCGCTTTACTGAACATAATGGCACGGCCTCTTCAGAGACTGGCTCTTTCACGCATGCGATGTGGCAGATTTGGGTGTAGGATGCTGAAGCCAGGATTGGTCGCAACTGCGACTCTTGCAAACCATTGCCGGTCTGCAGAAGCACTGCCGGCATTGACCACGAGAACGAGGGCCATGAAGGCGCATGTCTCTTGCTGTGCTCACCAACGCATGTTTTTATGCAGTTAGAGGATGCAGCAAGGTGATGGCGAGATCGAATGCGACTGCTCACAGTTGCACAAATAAGTCATGACGCATGCTCAGATCGCTTGCGCACATATCCGTAGAGAGAAAACACCCTGAGTGGCTTCAAACGTCGCCAAAGAGAAGCTTGCTTGCCAAGAGTCTGGTCAACACGCAAGGCTTTGCCTTGCCAAATGGGATGCACCCAGCAATCACCATCTGGCCCGGCTGCTCGCTGCCAGCCGGCACCGACCTCGTCTCAGCAATCCTCCCGGCTGCTCGCTTTTTGAGGCTAAGCCTGAGATTTTGCCGCACAAGTCACACGAAATCGCTGCGTGAAATCGCTGGGTGTGCCAATGACCTTTCACTCATCTTCCATCTTCTGTTTGCAGCAATTGGTGGAACGGCTGTGCAACACGGCCTCCATTTCTATGTCGTCACCGCTCTGGGTTATTTTTCGGCTAACATAGCCTCTCCACAGCACATACAAAAGGACTCCATGCACAGTTCGCCGAGCCTGCCCCGTAGCTTATCGCGGAAGCTGCGCAACCTGAGATGATGGCATGCAAAGTAATGCAAGCAAAACGACCTGGACAAATTCACGCCAACCTTTGGCCGAAATAGGTTAAACTCTCGTTTCACAGTCATCAGAACCTGAAGTCGTCTGGGCTCTGGTTAAGCGATCAAGAAGACGGGCTGGGCAAGTCCAAGCAGCGTTTTGCCCAACTTACCTCCAGCGACACCAGAAGTGCGTCCATGTCGCCCTCGGTCTCGAAGCAAAACCAAAGCCCAGCGAAGTCGGTCCTTTTCACATTCAAGGCTGAAGTGCTGATGGCAGAAAGTCATGTCGCGCCTGCTCGGCACCGCCCGACGAGAGCAGACAACAACTGGCCTTCTCGAAGACCAAAAGGCCTGGCCGGTCACAAGCTGAGATGACGCAGTGCCGAGACTGAATCAGCCTGGTCTTGCAATGGCTGCAAGGGTAGCAACGAAGCCTCTCGCGTGAGCAGTGGCATAAGGCATGAATATCTGATCTCCTGGATTTCCGAACAACTCATTGTGAGCCGGCCTCTGGTCGGACTACCTTTTGCTTTGGACGAGGCTTCATCGAAGGAGTGGACGACTGCGGAGATTGCACCTTGCATCTTGGAATGGTTGCGGAACTGCACAACAGAACCGTGCCTGCATGCTCCCCAGCTCATGAAATGCAGCCTGCATGTATCTGGGCTGTCGACAATTGGGAGACTGTTCGATAAATCGCTGACTGACCAAGGGTCCTGCTCTTGCAGGTCTCTGCACTTCACTTGACTCAAAGACTCGGGGATGTGAATCCTCTTCGATGTCCAACTCATCTTCCGAAGAGGCCGCGGAGAACGTGCAAGCGGCTCCCATGGCGAAGGGTTCAGGTCCGCAGGCGAAATGGGAGACACTGCCACTGAAATACGAAGAAACTAGAAGTGGCGATGAGACGGGGTTGAGCATTCCTTGAGCAGCGCAGCTTAGGCGGTTGAAGGCCCTTTACCCTTTGCTTCAGCTCCGCATCAGCTTCCGCTCCGCTTCGCGCTTCCCGCCTGGCCTTCCTCGCACTCTGCGCTTCGTTCAGGAAGTCCAGTTCGCCATCCAAGGCTCGCTCGAGCCTCAGATCTCTCGGAGCTCAGAGCCTGGTGAGATCGCAAGCATTCCAAAGAAGTTCCGGACTCACAGAACACCGGGTAGTAGTCGACCGGAAGCCTACAGCAAACACAACATCGCGCACGAAATCAGAGGCGTTCAACGGAGGTCGACCTCGCATGGAAGTGCAAATGTTGAGCCTAAATTATTTTATCCTGTCTTTATTCTCTAGATCATCACCCAGCATGATAAACAAACCAGGTATTCCTGCAGAAGTTGGTGGCGAATGGTTCAAAGTGCAAGGAATTTTGCAGTCAGATCAGGATTCTGAAACCGATGTCGCGACACAGTAAAGTCCGTGCCGCTGCGTCTGCCAGATCGACAACTTATTACGATGATGCCCGTCTGTGCTCCAACAGCCCGAAGCCACCAGCCAACCTTTCGCGCAGACTCTTTAGGACCCTTGAACCATCGATGCAAATGCTTTCAAGCACGGTTGCGAAAACCCGGCACTGAATATTCTCCCTCGAGGGTGGGCCCAACGTGCCTGATATCTCGTGTGACGTGATGGTGACATAATCTTCTTGTCAGGGCTGCCTATGGGTTCCAGAACTCGGAACTCCGAAACCTGTACCGGTCACAGCCTTCCGCGCGCAGCTAGCGCAAAGACTTTGAGGTTGGCGATGTCGCCTCGATCCGTGCTTGACTGCTGAGCTCTTACCAGGGTGACGAAGCCGAGCCTCGAAGGACAGGTTCCATGTTTGGTCTCAAGACTTTGACGGCCACCTTGGTGGTTAAGGACGGGACGATCTTTATCTCGGGACCTTTTGCCTGTGAGGCCTCCCTTCCGTCATTGAGAACGGCTCGGTGAACCTGCGCAGCATTAGCTCGACATTACCATGCTCACCATCGTCGGACAGCTTTGTCTTTCTCTTCGTCGGAGGTTAGGATTGTAAACCTGCACCCAACAGCATCCTTCGAACTCTTCATTAACACCAGGTGCTCAGTCGATCTGCCAAATTAACTGTTCCAAAAAACCAATAAGCACTCCCAGCACAGCCATGCTGCTAACAGTACGCATCAACACCAACGCATGCTTGAGTTCTTGGCCGCTTCGTTGCGCCGTGACTCCGCATACATCCAGCATTAGACTCATTATACGGGTAGCAGCTTGGATTCGTTCCGAAGTTTCTGAGCTACCCCGGAACATTTGTCAATAGGGGTTTCCCCTGGGTTGCTCCTTCAGTCAAACGGGGCGTGCCCTTTCAACAGTCGTGTCCTGCACAAGAGCTCAACTGAGTTTAGCAAAGTGGGTCTTCGAGGCCATCAAGCACTGTCAACTGTTGCCAGCACACTTCTGCATGTGTCGACCACTGGGCATCGGCAATTTGCATGCTGGAAAACCTGGCTTCCTTCCTTCTTTGCGCTCCGTCTCCCCTCTCCGTTTGCAGTGCGTAAAGCGCGAGTCAAGCCCTCCGCCCCCCTGCCATTGCGGTGGCTTTGAGGTTACTGTGCGACTACGTGGTAAGGTCGATACCGCTGCGGCACCATGGAAACTCTCTGTACACTAGCTAGCGTATCCTCCCGCCACCTCCCACAACACCTCCGGGGAGTTCGTAGCAAAGCCCAGCTTTGGCTCTCGGACTACCAGCAGATGCACGGACAACACAAACTCACTCTTTTTAGCGTTGCGGCGAAAGTCCCGAATTGGCCCGGACAAAACGTCTAGCCTCCGGCTAGCTTCTCTCCAGGGTGGGTTGGGTGGGCACTTCCCCCCCTGCTACAAAAAGATTCAGTACCAATACCGTACAATACTTTGTACACCATTTGACAGGATGACAGCAATTTTCAGCACAAGCACAAATCCCTTGCAATCCAGATCCACTCCACCTCAATCTTTTCCTTGCAGACTTGAGCCAATGTCAATCATGACAACGATCCATATGGCGTTTCTACAATGCCATCTGTGACGTAGTGATCTCTAACACGGTCCCTTGACAATGCGTAAAATGCAATTTTCACGTCAATGTCACAGCCAATTCTGAATGTGCAAACAACTGGAATCAATGGACGGCGAACAGGATAACTAACATGGAAGCGCAAGAGTACCATACCAGGGCAAGGGGAAAGAGCGAAGGAAAAGCCCGAAGGGCAGTGGTTTAATGCATCCAAGTCACTCGCCAACACAGCCAACAAAACAATGAGTGGTAACCTTAGCGAATTTATCATGGACCGAGCTGGCCCTTCATTGCATACCTGCATTTTTGTTTTGGTTTTGCGCACAGTCATACTGCGCATGGCCAATGGCTCTTGAATGATTTCTTGCATCTTTCTTGAATCACCTCATACAGAGACAAGTGAATTAGGTTATGCACATATGTTACGCCATCAAGATGGCTCAGTAGTCGTGCTTTTCGTTGAAGGATCCCGTCCCACCCCGCTCCAACCACGGCCACGAAGAGGAGCGAGCAACAGGCGCCACACTGGCGCTATAGCAATCATGCCATCGCGTGCATCTTCAGGTGCCTACGCTATTCTAGGTTTACGTCGCAAGTGGGCAGGGATTCGGGAGCACAACGCACGGGAGCGCTCCTTCTCGCCACTCCCCCCGCTTGAGACTTCGAGGTCGCGGTCGAACGAGAAGACGTGGTAGGCATCTTGAGCCAAAATGGCTACTCTCTCTCTCTCTCTTCCTCTCTCTTGCTTGCTTGCTTGCTTGCTTGCACAGCGTTTGGGTTAGAGGCTGAGAACCCCCGAACCCTGCGCGCTAGCGGTACGCTGAGTGTCCTTGTCTGGTTTGGTGGTGAAACTTGGGGAGCGAGCGGTTGAGCTGGACCGGCAAGCCGGGTTGATTATCCAGAGGCGTGTCCCCCATACTAGAAGCCCTCAGTTAGCGCAGAAGGATCCCGCCTGGTCCAGCTCGCGTGCTCCGACCTCCATTCCTTTCTTGAGAAGCTACTCGCTCGCCTGGTGCCCACTCTGTTGTGGGTTAGCAAGCTTGTGTCTGAGCTGTGGGCTTGCAAGGAAACGGCATACATACAGAGAAACTTGGGCCCAGCTCGGCACCTATGGTACAGCTACTTGTCTCTGCTACTCTGGTTGGTTTGGTGGATGTTTGCTGTGCTGGCAGTGGGTCCCCAAAGGTAGGAAGCAAGAGGCAGGGGTAACAGTAACCGATAGGCGAAACACTTTCACACGTGCTGGGTCCCCAACTGCAAGGTGTGAGTGTGCTGTGGTGGCTGCGGGGCCCCCCGAAGGAGGAAGCAAGGGGGTAGAGGTTACACAAACAAACGGTAGGGGGAGGCATAAACTTGGGTCCCCGCGAGCCATTCGTTGGTGGTGCTGGTGGTGTTGTTGTTGGTTCTACTGCATGCTGCCTTTTTTGGGTTGGTCTCCGAGACACACGCTACATACACAGCTTTTCGCACGCGGAAGGCTCTTCTCAACGAGCCCATCAGCACCGACCTATCCTAATTCAGTTACTGGTGGCTTAAATTAGGCACGGCCCTTGGGAGGTTTGTTTACTACCTTTGCCCAAAACTGACGGTCCTGGCAACTTGGGTACACTCTGCGGAAAAGAGAAGTATTATCCATCCATGCAAGTCCTGAGGAACTGTGCGCTGCCTCAATATCGTTTGGTTTGAAACATTGTAGAAACTATGTGTAATTTGCTCGTGAGAAGGGGCAGCATCCGAGAGTAAATGATCAATGCGGGTTGGCTGCCTGCGTCATGCAGGATTCGGCCCAATGAATGCGGGCCTTCCTGGTTTATTAGGAGCCCGAATATGTCTATATGCGTGAGAAGTCATGTAGGTACATTGGCTTTCTACGGATTCAGGATGCCTATGAATGTGACCAAAGAGCTGCAATCGTTGTTGGGAGTACATTTGGGACGGGGTAATAACCTTTCGTGACCTATAAGAAAGAGACGCCGAGTATTGATTGGAACATTGGGAGTTCGAGGGGTCCAAAACCCTATGGTAAAAGGAAGATTTCTTTTTTGAAAATACGGCGCCATGATTTATAGTGTATGGAGTCTAACTTGCGTAATTGGGGTGACGTAAGGAGGACACTCCACGGCGTAAGTGAGGATCGAGAGAACAATGCTCCGATATACCGTAAGTTTCCGGCTTGGGTGAGTGAGCAAAGGCTTAAGGAATTTGGAAGCTGAGACTGCCTGAGAAACTCTATAATAGGTATTTTTACGGTTGTTGTTGGTCGGGTCAAGATAGACACCTAAATATTTGACCGTCGTCCGATAGAGGGAATGGAGTGAGAGGGGCGTGGATGCCACCACAAAATTTGCAGTGGCAGGGAGTATCTGCTTGGCGTGCATAGTAAATGCGGTTGGGTGAGTGGAGGCGTAAATGCTCACACTTGTCCTCATTTAGTAAAGTTGCCTGTTTTATGGCCATGATGTTGCACCGAGTGAGGCGTCGATTGAGTTGTTCTGCCGAGCAGGAAAGCAAGACAGTATCGTCTGCATACTCCAAGTCCCAAAGGGGAGAGGGGACGTGGAATACCTCTGAAATTTCTCCTATAACCTAGATTGGTAATCTGTTTCCACATCGTAAAAGAGATGAATTAAAACAAATCCAAACAAGTAAGGAGAAAGAGGGCAGCCTTGGCGTAAACCCTTTTTGTTTGGCTTCTGATGCTAGACTTGTGAGAAGAGTCTCGCACCAGAAAGGTGGGATTATCATATAGATCCATGATAACTTTTCGGGTACGATCAGGGACACCTACATGAGCCATAGCTGCGTCTATCGCCGTGAAGGTAACGGAATCAAACGCCTTGCTCCAATCATTAAATAGAGCATGGAATGGTGAGTTCTGTCTTTTGTAGATTTCAAGGAGGCGACGAATAATGTGAGTAGGTTGAGTGGTAGAGCAGTTCTTTCGGAATCCGAATTGTCTATCACGGACTCTGGAGTCGAGTCCTCTTTCCAGTTTTTGCTGGAGCATAGAGGCGAAGACTTGTAAAACAGATTAGTAAGAGAGATTGGTCTGTAATTTGAAAGGAGGCGAGTGTCCTTTTGTGTATTCTTGAGGGTCATAACAACTTCCGAAAAAAGCCATGAGGGGGGAACTTTGGCTTCTGGTAACATGGGTTGTAGTGGGAGAGCAGGTACATGTAAGGAGCGTGTTTGTAATTTTTCCAGGGATTTCATTCGGTCCCGAGGCTTTATTGGTTTTAAGGCGCTTTAATGCAGAATCCATGTCATGCAGTGTGAAAGAAGAATCAATTTCCGGTACCGGTGGGTGGGGGTCCGGCACTGCAATGCTAGGGTCTCCGTCGGAGTGCCATACATTTTTGGGGAGATAATCTGCAAAAGTAGTGGCAAGCTGAGAGGAGGAAACCAATATATCTTGGAGGTTGCATAATCCCGCTGAGCGGGGACGGAAATCGGCGCGTATTTGTCGAGCGTGGGTCCATTGCTGGACAGAGCTTCCTTGGAAATCTTCTTGTAGGTTTTCGAGTTATGAAGAGCTTTTGTCCCTACGAGCTGATTCTTTAATGGCGTTCCTGGCTGCCTTAAGGGCAGGAGTATCAGTAAAAGTGGTATTCTGAAATACCTGGATGAGGTGGAGCGTGTGTGATGAAATCCATGGTTTTTTGGCAGCGAGAGGAAGGGTAGGAGTAAGAGTAGTATTGTCTTTAATTGTGGAAGATAAAAATCATCTTGTTCAAGGGGAGTGAGAGAAACCCAGCTATGTTGGTTGAAGCCAATCTCCGGAGGCTGAAGGGATTTGGATGGAGTAGCGGCAAAACGGCCTAGAGAGCCGAAGGAGTGGACACCACGCTTAGCTCAAGTGTCAGCTAACTCAATTCCTTTTGACTTTTGACTTTGAAGCGCTGTCCGGTGACCGAACGTAGCGAGCTGTAAGGACATGCATTGTGCACGGCGACATTGTCGCTCACTTCGTGATCCGATACAGAAGGTTAAAGAAGAGAGCATAGAGCCGTGCGCCGCCCCGTAGGACCAAGCACGCACTCCAGCAACAGCGTCCTCCGGTCCGCAGACCCAAGCAAGGACTTACACAGGTGATTGGAAGGCACATATACGTCGGACAACAACTCTGCACTTCAACCTTTTCTAACATGATATACGAATCGAGTAGCCAACAAACAACATAAAGTGGTTAGTGCCTTCCCATCGCGCAAAAATTGTAAGGATTCTCCGCAGAGCCGGGTGCCTGAGAACAGAGAGACAAAGACACTAGATACAAAGATTCAACTATTAGTACGAGGATATCTCGTGGCAAATAGCTCATGAAGAGTGAGGTTTGCAGAAAATCGGCATACAGTACGATGCAGAGCTCCAGATGTCACAGACTGAGTGGAAGTATCCCCTAGAGACAATATTAAGCAGTTGACCCAACATAGCATGAATAAATGAATGAAGCTTCAGACTGTGACAGTCTCTGCCGTTGCAAATCGCGAGCATCGCATCACAACGATACGGGCGAAGTCAGAGGAAAGTGCATCAAACCAAAGCACCCAAGTCCAAAATATACAGCAGATGTGTCACATCTGCGCGACTTCGCTCGTGTATGTTGATCGACAGCTACATACCAACAGACGAGGTCAGTGAGGCTCATGCTCACTACTCATATCCTACATTGGCGTGGGAGAGTACCCAGAAGCCCTGCAACAGCAGCATTTGCACATCAGATAAGATAAGATTTGCACATCAGATAAAGCCATGAAAGACGAGCATCAGAGAAGGACTTCCAAGTATCCTCACCAGTAGCGGCACATGCCCCATCCCAATCAGTCAGAAGCCTAGCCTCCATTGCCCCGTGGAAAGCTGCTGACATTGTGCGGCTAGTAGTAAGCGGTTTCTTGCCACTTATACCGCTGGTGATCAGATCTCGCAGCAGCAGCATTATGTCGGCTGTCATAGCTCGCGTAAAGTCTGCATCCAGTGACAGTTCTGTCGTAACAGGTGATTCTGCGCACTGGCTGATGAACTTGCGCTGTGCTCTGTCCATCAGCTCTCGCTTCTTCTGCACCGGTAGCGCAGCGCTCATCACATCAGCGAGCATGGTTCCCAACTGCTGTTGCACGATACGAACATGCTTCGTGGTGAGTTTTGCATTCCGCTCGAATATCTGCGCTACGTGGCGTCGCAGATTAGCATTGGCATCATCAACCTTTTCAAGTCTCGCCCACATAGGCCGCCACTTCATGCCCCACTGCGTGACGTCTAATGGCTCGAGCAGAACCTTGAACAGCGTGGTTCCGTCTTCTCGCACGCGCATGCTGTTAGTAAAATAGTCCTGTAAGTTCGTGCCTAAACCTCCAACGCCGGCAGGGCAGCCCCACGCAGATGTTAACGCCGGTTTCAGGCACCCTAACACTGCTGTTTCCAGTATAGCTGCTGCAATCACGTGGATTATGTCGTCTGGCACATCATACCTCATCAGCGACTCTTGCGTTTCTGAGACAAAATGTAGCACCTCGCGAGCCGTCAAGCGGTCTGATCCCTGCGGTTCACTCACTGTGATAGCCCCGCACTTTCTGGCACAACAATGCACAAGTCCATGCTCAGACGAGCCGAGAGCCTTTTCTAGCTCAAATACGTCTGTGCCCACTAGCGTCTTGCTCTGGTTGAACTCCACGCCAGCCTTGCCAAGTGCGGCAACCAGCAGCAACGCTTCATTGATTGTCTGAACCATAGAATTGATGTCATCTCCTTTCCCCGTGGACCGCACATCCATTGCACATCCAGCCTCTTTGGATGCGCTCGTTGTTGCATTTTCAACGGCAATGTCAGCTTGTTCAGTGTTGATGAAAGCAGTTAGTCCATCTCCACTGAACAATGTAGAATTCAAAGCAACGTAGTTGCCTCGCTGATCCAGCCTGACACGTTTATTCCGCTGGCCATGGCACAAAGCGGCAGCGTGACGATCAATTTCATCTGTTTTCTCCGGCCTAGCCTGTTTCATCACAGCAGCAATGCCATTTATAGAATTGTCGAGGGCAGAGATGGCATGTTGCTCATCCCACGCTGAGGCGTCTACGCAGGCAAAGCATCCCCCTCTGCGCCCGTGCTCAATCATGAAAATGCGTTGAGCAACCAAATGATCTGCCTCTTTCTGCAGCTGTGAGTATGGCGACTCACGAAAGATACGCTTTGACGCATCTTCAAATGGCTCAACAAAGCACTGAGCATCGAAATCCAAGGGCCATAAGCGCCGCGCTCTTATGCCAGCTTCACACTTGAGAATTGGAGATGACCAATACTCCAAGTCCTGCGGCGGATCCGCAGCATCCTCATACGGAAGCAAAAGCGCATTCAACTTACGCTTGCCCGCAAGCTTGTCTTTGTCGGCTAGACCCAGTATGCCGGACAAGTTCAGATCCTGCGCCTCGCGTGATCCGCCTGAATGTCCAGCAGACGTGCGTTGCAAACGCACAGCGCAGAATTCAGCTGCTGTCTGCGGTTTGAAACCCCGCAGGCTCACTCTGTGCGGAGCCATTGACTGCCTGGCACTGTAGTAGCCTTTTGAGGACCACTCCACTCCATTATACAGCTTATGATCGCGTGGCAATGATCTGCGATTTTCCAATTCCTCCTCGAGAGTGTACTTTGGTTGCCAAGCACCTCTACCAGCCAACGACTGCAAATAAAGTCCCCTGGGCAACAAGCCTGCATCAACTGCCTCTCCGCCAATGGAGCATGTTTGCCTATCACCATCATGGCGCTCCTTCATCACGTCAATATATTCATCGTCAGTCAGGCGCTCAACACCTTCAGATAGCAGGCGCTCCAGATATGCGCGGCACCGCTGCGGCGCGCAGCTCATGTACAGCGCTGACCCCACAGCTCGACCAATGCCCCAGCCCCAATGTTTGGCTCTGTGCAGCATTCCCAGCATGCGCATAGCGGCACCATGAGATGGCGAATGTGTGTTGTGCTTGACAAAAGCATTGAGTTCGCGCTCTAGGTGCTCCGGCCGTAATCGTATGAATGGCATCATTGACCTCACTTTACTGTAGCTGTAATGCGGCTCTTCAGGCTTGTTGCGATCAGCAACCAACAGCCTCAACTTGTTAAGCCACTTTTCATAATTCACCATTGCATACGGGCCCTGCATAGCAGTATACACGTGTGGCAATTCTGCCAATTTCTCAAGGGTCTCGTGCAGCACATCACTTGCGTCTGCTAACCCCTGCATGGCCAACACATCCAGCTTGGTGCACGCAAGAACTTTTTGAAGTAGTGCATCAGAAACGCGCGGACCGACATGTTCCGTCGTTCGCCTAAACAGCTGCGAATCTCCATCGCTCTGAACATTCGGCACAAGCAGCCCAGTGCGGTTGCACTGTTGTGCATGTACCCAGGCATCTACTATGTGAGCCGTCATGGCTAATGCATGCACCGAATACTCGGGCATCACCCAACCACAGAACACACACACATCCATTGAGCTCGCGGCAACCATGTCTCCAAATCAACTAATGTACCTGGCGCGCGAGTTTGATCTCTTACCAATGTATTAAGCATCTACTTGCGGTGCAGCAACTACTTTTTCACACATTTGCTTGCACGAAGATGCCTGATTTATGCGCTGCACCCAGTCGCCTCACATGTTCTCTTCCTCCTCAGCCTGCACGTCCTGAAGCTCGTCACCATCTGGCTTCAAGTCTTCTCCGTCCAAATCATCAGTTGCAGGCGCGCCCGGTCGGCGCTCAGCCACATCATTGACTGGGCCACTCGTCGGGATACCCGTAAGTGGGTCTGGCGGAAGCGCTGGCATGTTGGCCCCTGCCTGTGGAGCACCCGGTGCTCCCAAAATCTTGGGCGCCGTCATCTTGGCATTTGCCTCCTGAGCCTCACGCTTGCGCTTGGATCCCTGTTGATCAACAGCAATGCTTCTTGATGCTATGTCGATGACAGGAGAAGCTTCGAGGAACGATGGCATCACCGCCACGGATGGTCGCCCTATCGGGACTACAAAAGACACATTGAATAATGGACTCGAAGACTTCACGGAGCGCACCAAAGTCATGCCGACTGCTTCTGACACTGTCAGGCTCCACACCAACTCCATTGGCGCTCTCAATTTCATGTTCGCGAAAACTGCTCTCTTGCGCACAAGAAGTGCGAGCTCAGCATTACTGGGCGGCTCTGTTGGGTCTGTCAGGTCAACAGCACCTGCCAACAACGGCACAGCGATGTAATTTGCTGGCCCCATGAGTTGACTTATGCTTGCGTTCGAGCCTGAGTCAGGGCGTACTTCCACATAGTGATAAGCGATTGTGTTGGCAAGTAAAGTCGCCGCTGGCATGGTTGTGCCAATAACCATGCCCACACCGGCTCCTATTCCACGCCTATTCACGAGCCTAGGGCCCCTGGACGTGTACTCTGAACCTGACTCCCCTTCAAACACGATCATCTTGTTCGCTTTGACCTGTGCCGAGTTGATTGCTGCCAGTGCCAACCCTGACTCATCAGGGCAGAAACCAAGTTCGCTTCCCTCAAGACAGAATGACATTGGCACCTCAAATGCCATGATTCCTTGAAGTGCGCGCCAGATCGGGAGATACTGGCCATGCGTGGCACCATACTTCTAAGGGCGGGGTGGTTATAAATGATTACAGTGCTTAGCATGGTTAAGTATCTTGTGCAACCATGGTTATTATCATGGCTAAGTTGTTGTTAGTATACTTATAAGTAGGCTATGTTGCAGCAGTGCAGATGGCTTGTTTAGTAAATGGACGGGGTCATTTAACAATCAGATGTTGTTGCTTGTAAGTGATTAGACAGGATAGACAAGATATGGATATTTTACTTAGCCAAGTTAGCATACTTAATGCTAACTGAGGTCGTGCCATTTAGCACAATTAAGTAAACAGGCCAAGTGTGCTTAGGTGCTGTTCTTTTTGGTATATGTATCGATGCTCGCGGGCAGTATATTTTCGCCTGCAGGGCAATAAAGCTTTAATTCCACAGGCAGCCATGCCAGCAAACACTATATTTTTTTTCATAAGATGCATGCATGCTCGCAGGCAGTATATACTTAGTTCGCCTGCAGGGCAAGAAGGGCAAGAAAACCATCATGTGACCATGTGTATATACCGACGAAGTTTCTCTGCTCGAGAACTCAGTGTACTTCTAGGTGGAACAAAGTGCAATGGCGCTGTCGCCTGAAGTTTACGGGGAAATCGCAGCCCTACTGCGGAAGACAGAGGGAGGCGAGTTCCTTGTGAAGTCGGTCGCCGACCTCTTCGTCGTTCTTCGCCGCTCTGGTTTGTTGACAGAGATGCGTATACCCCCACTTTCAGTGGGGGTTCACCCGCAGAACCGGGACGGGTTGATGTTGAATGCGGGCGACGTACACCAGCTCCTCGACAGCATCGCTCAGGTGGGCTTTGTGCCTGCCCGTGTGGATGCCATCGGCATCGAGATAGGCTCGGACGACCACCGCATCTACAACCAACGAATGGTTGATGGTGCCGGTGGCTCGCTTGGTACCATGGACAGCAAACTCCTCAAAGTACTCAGCCTGTCAGCATCTCATACTAACTTTGCCCTCAGACTGGTGGCATGTTCGGCTCGCCACGAGTCGACAGAGCTTTCTGTGAATGGGATGCTAAGCCTTCAGCAAGTCAGGGCTCGAGATGCAGCCCTGGCAGAACACGTGGAGCTTGGGCTTACTTGGCGAGTCATTTCCAAAGAAGTCGGCGAGGCTTTTCCCAGCATTGTCCAGCTCGTTCAAGCATCACAGAATGCGACATTGCAGAAGAGTGAGAGTGAACTCCAGCTTCTTCGCCGCATCTTCTCTTTGGCAAGCCGTGAAAGCTCCCCGGACTTCCAGAACATCAAGAAGGTGGCCCTGAGCTCGAAGCCACCGTGTGGCGATTGCTTTCCGGCTCTCTACAGTTTCGCCCTCCGCTTCTGCGGGGGGGCGGACGGCGGCTTTCTACGAGAAAGCGAGATCTTCGTCAGGAGCTCAGGCCAAACAAGAGCTTTGGGATTGCAGTTCTGGGAGGTGCTCTCCCAAGACTTCAAGAAAGGCCAGGAGCAGATCCCTCATTTCCGGCATGCATTGCTGAAGCTGGCTTTGTCAGGGGGTGGGATCACCGCAAGCACAGCTCGGAAGATGTTCGCCCGAGACTGCGAGAAGAAGGTTCTGGAGGGGAACCAAGTGTTGTGCGAACTTCGGGAGCTCATGGTCAAGAAGGGTGTTGACGTCTTCAGGGATGTCAGCTTCGTGAACATCTTGGGAGTGGTGGACATGAATGTCGTGAGGCTCTGCCTTGGGCTTCCTCGTGCCGAGCAGGAGAAAAGCTATAGGGCCGTCCAAGGCATCGCACACGATGCTTGCCTGCTCTTGGGATTGGAGAGTCCGTGGGCGGCATTTGCTGAAGCAAATGCCGATGGCAAGTCATCGGCCCAGGGAGCAGCTGAGAGGATGAGGGAGCTGAACCCGGATGGGTCACTCCGCAATGCGGAGGACTTGCTGACTGATGCAGGCTTCGTGGTCGATGCCTTTGTTCGTCGCAAAGCGGACAAGTTGGAGTGCCGGATCAAGCACATCAAGGGCTCCCAACTTCAACTGCAGGATCTGCAGAAGAAAGGCTTCATGAAGGTTGCCAGCGATCAGTTCCTTGCTGGTGGGTGGATCTTGTTCACCCCAAAGAAGGAAGCAGAGGTTCTCGAGGATTTGTCCATGCTGGGCTTCTCCCAATCTCTGGAGTATCAGGCTGCTCTCATGGTCGCAGACATCCAAAAAGAGTTGGACATATTGGCACAGAAGCATGATGTTGATGGGGTGCTCGGCAAGCTCAGCTTGCAAATGAAGCCTCACAAGGCTTTGACAGTCAAGCAAAAGTTCACCAAAGGCCAACTGGTGCTTGTGCCAGTGAGCTGGAAGATCATTCACAGGCTGAAATCCCAAGGCTCTGTGGCGAATGCCGTGGAAGTGCAGACCCCATGGAAGCTCGACGATCGCCAATTCTGGCTCTCGTCATGTGTGCAGCTGCCAAAGGGCGACGAGGATATGGGGTCGGGCAAGTGCTGCATCTCCCCGTTTTTCCTCGTCAACATGACGGACGATGCAGGATCCACCAACATGGAGCTGAGCTGGTCTGGCACGAAGACTAGCAACATCCGGGTGCCACTACTCCGAAACAACATCCTCCTATCGCCAGGCGATCATTTGTCCCAGTTCATGCCGAAGAAGGCCACTCGGGATGATCTTGAGATGCCAGCTGCACCCAAGAGATTGAGAACCAAGCAGTAGGCGCACAGAGCAGATGCATCCGATCTCGGCATCATGCCCGAGCCACCTAAAGCTAAATCTATATGTTTATCATAGATGTAGATCGGTATATACTTAAATGTACATATGTATATTTAAAGATGCATGTAGATGTGAAGTATACATGAAAAAGTGCTCGGCTGCCTTGAGGTGTGGCTTTCGTTACATGTCTGCATTTTGCCCAGCAGACATGGATCCATGCGATTTCGATCTCAGGGAAGACTTCCCTGCACAGAGGTTTGAGTGGTGTGCAGCATGAAATGTGCCTTCAGTGCTTTGCAATCTTTGTACGTGTCGCTTGCAGGGCTTTCAGCTCGCAGGCAGCTCTGCATGCATGTGCATGCAGGAGATGTGAAGGCATGCTGTTGTGCCCAGCTCGCTCTCAAGTGTTTCTAGAAGTCTCGCATCCTTTCACCCGTCCCATTGTCGAGCTCAGCATGGACGAGAATCGCATGGACGAGATTCGCATCACACAGAAGTATGTGGTTCAGCTTGGCAAGTCTGCTCCCTTCGTCCCGACTCAGAAGCTCGTGCAAGACGTTCCTTTCATTTGCCTGCAGAAGTGGGACCGAACCAGTGTCAGATTGCTTTCCGGAAAAGCATTAGATCTGAGAAAGCAGAAGAAGGACAGTGCAGGATCCTTGGCATGCTCAGCATGGGACGAGCTCGTGCAACTACGACAAGAACGTGCCAACATGCTGCTGCAGGATGCCCTGAAGGAGGAGTCGGAAAATCCCAAGCCCAAGAAGGAGAAGCCTGTTCGAGCACAGTCCAAGCATGCCGTCATGCTCCCTTTGTCGATGGAGGTGGAATTCCATGGCAAGTCCATTACCATGCTGTTGGAGGGGTTGGGGTCGTCTTCAGTTTGGGTGGAATTCACGGAGGACAACATTAAGTTCCTGCGGGAAAAGTGCAGCTCCAGCGAGTCCACTCCCAAGAAGAAGAGAAAGGTTGCCAAGAAGGGTAAGAAGAACGATGACAACCAGGAAGCCGCTGATAATGATGACGAGGACGGCGAGGGCGAGGAAGAGGATGAGTGAGTTTTTGTGGTGCCCAGTTCGATGGCCGGCTTGATTGGGTATAAAAAATTGAACAGAAGCAAAGAGAGAGAGATGGAGAGAGAGAGAGAGAGAGAGACAGACAGAGATTATATACATATATATATATAATGTATTATATGGAGACATAAACATATATGTATGAGAGAGAAAGAAAGAGAAAAAGAGAGGCAGACCGAGTCAGTGAGTCGATGCCTCAGGTGCCAAACTGTTTGCATGCTGTGTTCCATGGTGTGCAGCTCTTCATGTCGTTGCTGATTTGCAGTTGAAACACTCGATCGTGGACCGATTCAGGCTCTTTTCTGGGTCGATGCATGCATGCATGCATGCCGCATGCAAACTTCAAACATCCTTTGATGCATGTGGCATGCAAACATCAGGTCGTGGGCCACAATGCAATGCACATATCAGGTCATGGGCCACATGTGCAGGCTGGCATGCACTGCATGCACTTTTTGAAGGGTTGAGGGCCTTGTGGGCTTTCCGGTGCAGCCATGGCTTGCTTTGCCATGCGATGGTGTGGCATGCCTCAGGTCGGGGTTTTTGGAGACTTTGCATAAATGGATCGTATATCTGTCTTGCCTAGGACGACGAGCACAAGATGGTGCAGATCGCCGGCATGGAGTTTCACGACCTGCTGCCGGTACGAGGACCCCTCAGATAAGTTTACTTCGCCCGGATCGTTCCCAAACACTCTGGCCAGGACAGAAGAAGTTCCGGTGGCAGGTCGATGTCCCCGGTGGGGGTCGGCTTCGCTGGACCAAAGGGGGCTTCCACATCGACATCATGAGTGACCCTCCACAGCTGTCGGTGTGGTGGAACGATTCCGACAGTGAATCGGTTCCAGTGAAAGGCGAGACTTTGAGTGCTTCTTTTCGGATTTACATCAACATGCATCCCCGTCAGGATGGATGTTCTGGGACAACAAGGCCTCCAAGTACAGAGAGAGCATGATCGTGATAGAGGCTTCCTTTGTTCGGATCCTGTTGTGTCTTTTTGCACACATATTATATGAAGTCGCTTCGTGTAGGAGCTGACCGCCTCTGAAGGGAACTTGGAGGCGGGTTATACTTGACTTGAGTTTTGCTGCAACTATATAGGTGTGCTTGTTCCTTGGCAGGATGCATCACCAGGACCCATGCAGGCAGCCGGGGTCTTTGCTCCGGAACTTTTGCTTGGCTCGTTCGGTTG